GGTTCTAAGTTGCCGGCTGGGCTTAAACCACTATAAGCATTTGTATTGACAATTGCCACAGAAGTAAAGCAACAAATGCTAGACATGAGCTTGCTATCAAGTGCATTTTCTATTTATCAGGCTTAGAGGAATTAAAAGAAGCACCATTACTATTTAACAACATAAGTTATTCTAAACACGAACTATTAAATGACATGATCAAAAAATCAACTTACTCCTTGTTCCAGCACAGACAGTTGATCTCTTGCAGCAACCCCACCAATAATCAACAGCTCCCTAAAATTACATCAATAGATTTTGACATTTGCTAATTTATTATATTCAAGAGCTATGATAAACATCTGCCTTAAGATTCTTTCTAGCAGCTGATGATTAGCAGCTCTAAACAGTAACGTTATGAAGAATAGGGAAAAAAAAAAGGGTCCCTTCATATGTATTTTAATTCAAGAAGCGAATGTTTTGTTAACAAATTGTATTTGAATTTGATTCCTTTATCGCTGTTGTATTAAACACTTTAACACCTTAACCAGTTGAATCTTAAAAAAGAATCCGTTTCTTAAAAATTTCAAATGTAGTTTAAAAGTTTCCTGTATTCTTGAAAACTAGATGTGCAGATAACAGTAAACTAATCTTACAGCATAGCTTGCCCCTCCCCATCACTACCCTGCAATTCTAGTAAAAATACTCTTGTAAATTGACTGCAGTTTAGAATATAGAGACCCTTGTTTAAGTTTTATAAGCACTTTGTCAAAAGAGAAACAACTTTAAACCAAAGCAGCTCCTAGAGAAGTCAGTTTTCAGAACTGCATCCCCATCCTAATCACTGAAACATTTGTCCTGCAAGCATACTAACGTACACAGAGCAGACCTTGTGTATAACTATTTGTTGGAGCTAAAAAGCAAAGTAAGGATAGGGGAAGATGGGGCAAGGGGAGGTGGGGGAGGGAGGGACATGGGAAAAGAAAGGCAGTAAGCAGATTTGCTTTTCTTGATTAAAAACATTAAATACCATATACCTTTGATAATCTGAAGGAAAAAAATAACTAAAAACAACAGATTTGTCACACCAGAAATATGTAGTCCATACACATCAAACACATCCAAGACATCAAAAAAGCCCCTAACTAGTCTGACTGTAGCTGAAAAGTCAGAAGGTTACTTGGTAGCAGATATTACTGAGGTTATCATCAGTAGCATTGCAGATGAAGGTCCACTTAGCTACCAAGTGGAACACTTGCAGCCCCTACCATGAAGTCTTGTCCATGGACAATACCATACATGCAATTATAACAGATGCACTGTTACCTTAATTTGGGATTATCGACATATTTTTTGAACTGCTTCACATTGTTCAAAGTTTGTTCTGCCAGCTCTCTTGATGGTTCTACAATCAATGCTTTTGGAGCATTTGGAAGGTTCTGTGTTTGAACCACCTGCGCATTTCCTAAGTGAAAAAATAGGCCATTAAAATAAACTACATTCCTATCTTGGAATTTTTTACTGGAAACAAACTTGGATTTTCTACTAATAATCTAATACCTCATGATTCTAAATGCTCCATTAAAAGATGATGCTATTACTCAATTATGAAAAGCTTCAGATTAATATTCATACATTACAAGCAAATCTTGCCATGATTGTGGGTATACTGGCCATGCAGAATAATTAATTTTATTGCAGAGCTTAAACACACACACGCACACATTTTTAGTATGACACTGTCGAGTAACTGAGCTGAGCTTCTCTTTTTATCTGATGCATTTCTAAATTCAGACTATTTATGGTTTGAGATTAAGACAATTTGGAATATTTACAGCTCACTAATACTGCTGCTAGTAAGATTACTGTAAGACCTTGAATGCAGTAGTAATGAAGCAAATGAAGTGACCAAGAGATGCTCTGTAACACAATCTGATATAGAACCAAGACAGGCTTATAAATCTAACTTACCTGAGTGTTGTGACTTTACAACATTGCCATCTGGAGCCTTGCAGAGACCGATATAGCCATCTTTTGGTGGAAACTTAAAGTCTTCTTCACCAAAATTGAATTTCAGTTCAGCATTCTATTTTTCAACAAAGTTGTGTCATACAGACAGATTCAAGAGACCACATAAAGTGAGAAACAACTCCATAATTAATTACCTCATGAGAAACCAGCTAGTTGAGAAGGAAAAGGGGGTATTTTCTCCCATCTTACACATTCTCTTTCCCCAAATTATCTAAAACTTGCCAGACATTCTGTGTGTAGCTCTAGCTCTTAAAATACTTCTATGTAAAATTATCACCAAATATACAGATACATGGAAACAATTTTTGAACTTTCATGTTTTAATTTTCAATGACAAACCACAATGTGAAAAACACACCACAACCCTACAGTTTTTTTTGGACTTGTGTGTTTTTTTGCTAAAACCTTTACTCAGTAGGAGGTCATGCCAGACAAACTAACTCCAGAAAGACATACTACTATGCTACTGTAATGTTAGAGCTGAGAATGAAAGGAACAGGAATTTTGTCACTTTCAAGTTATTTGCTTATACCTGTTGAATTACAGTATATCAAAGTTTGATACAGGCAAGTTAGCCTTGGTATTAGGAATTAGTTATCCATGAAAATTTTATACACAAGTAGTTAACTACCAAAACTAAAACAATTGTCATGATCTTACAACATCTGTGATATTCCTAAGTTACCTTCAGTACACAGGCTGCAAAAAGTGCTTGGTTCCTTATATGTGGTGGGATTTCGAATGCAAGGCCAAGGTCCTTCCCTGAAAGCAGGGTTAATTCAGTCAGACTCCACCTGTGTTTGCATTCCCCTTCTCTGCCCCTCCCCAGTACAAGCATCCAAATAAAATTCTAAAGAAGAAAGTGAATATAACCTACCATTTTTGGAAAATTTTATTTGTCCTTTATCTATGTCTAGAAAACACCCAATTGTATCATGCATAGTGAATTCCTATAACAAAGAGAAGGTTGTGAAGCCAAGACATTTTAGTGTTCAGTGTATTAAGAAAACAGTGCTTAGATTCTATCAAGTTTCATGGTTTTCCCACTTCTCCTTACTAAATGTCAATTTTTGGTAAGTTCGATTTATTCCAATAATACCACTCTAAGCAGCATGCATATTTTTATTTCATTAGAAATCTTCAGTAAACTGCCTTATTTATCTTTGATATTTAAACATTTGTCGCTGCTTTAAATTTACTTTAAAAGCCAAACACTTTGACTGTGATAAATTTAAGTAATTTACCTGGAATTATTCTGCATTATGGAAAAGTGCATTAATCAGGCATTTACTAGACAACTCATATCTAAGCTTACAGCACCAAACTCAGTAACAGAAACCTATGTTTGACTATATAAAGATACTAACTCTTGCAAGAGGTACTACAAGCATGTTACATACACTTAAGTACTTCATTTAAATATCTTGAAATCTGTTTATTGCACAGCTATTCAATGAAATCTGTATATTATAAAATGCTTCTAATTCAACAGCTCAGAAGTCATTACTATAAAAAACCTACAATACAATAGTCATAGAAGTTCAAGTTGTATGGCATTGAGAGTTCATTAATGCCACAAACACTTGAGTTTTGGCTGTATTATTCATATTTATATGAATTATGCTTAAGCATCTGAACTCTTTGATTGGCACACTACACACAAAACACATATTCCTTGTAGGCATTTTCAGAAGTGTACATTTAGTTACCAGTTCTAATGACAAACCCAACTCGAGACCCAGAATTAGAAAGCATAACATCTTATCAGCATTAAGTATGTGTTTTGACATATTAGAGTTGCGTGACTACTTCTACTTTGACTACTGGTAAGCAGGATACGATGCCCTCACTTAGACATTCACCAGTGTATACAGATAGATTGTTGGTGTTCAAGCTAAGGCCGAAATGAGTCAAGAAATAAATCCAAGATATCAGTTAACCTCTAACCTGTAACACACGGAAAAGGTTTATCTTGCAAATAAGAGTCAATATATTTGCAGTCTAGCCACAGTCATAGCCTTCAAACTTATTTTGTTAGATCTGTTAACATGTTTCTATCCAAAAATGCTCATCATTTCATAGTATTTCTGCCCAGTGACATTCCCTTAAAAAGTAAGCACTACTACAGAAGACAGTTGATTGTTACAGCACAGAACCAACACGCAAAACGCTTAATATTTCTATCAATAAGCAATTCAAGCTTACCTCACCATAGCTGTCAAATTGCTTGTTGTGAGATTTCTTACCAGTGCCACCAAAGCCAAAACCAAATTTATCAGTGCCTGAAGACAAGATAAAGCACAGTTTTTTTATCTTCTGGTTGACAGGTTACGTTTTCTCCTCTTTGTACTGGCAACCAAAACCTCTAATGTTATAAAATGTAAGCAAAAAAAAATCCCAAACAACAAAAACCCAAACCCAACACCACAGTACTAAAGACTTCTAGCTTTCATACATGCTAAACTCGTATTTCCGTACCAATACATTTGATTTTACCAGTCTTCAGTCACCTTCACTAAAAAAATTGAAATAAAAGGGCAAAAGTCACTAGAGACAAGAAACATTGCTGCTACAGACCTCCTCCTGCAGGAAGAACATTTATATAAAGTGTTTTAAACTCCCAGATGCTGCTATCCTTCCCCAGGAGGACATTCTCTGCAAGACTACAGCAAGACTTAAGCCATTCCATGTGAATATGAAAACTGTCTACGGGATTCTTCCTTTGAAGGAAACTCACCCAAATCAAGTGAAGCCTGCATAGTTGACCAGCCAACTCTGCACAAGCCTTGGTCATGACAGGAAACCTCATAGTAGTACTTCCCTTTGAAGGAGAAAGAAAAAATTGAAACCACCACCTAAATTTCAATTTCATCAATGTGGTTCAGTTTGGCTACTTCCAAGACTACACAAGCCTAGCATTTCCACCCCTCCCAAAAGTGTCATAAAATCCCCTGTTGTGTCAGTGTGAAAAGATTCTCTAGGTACCTATGTATGTAATGTAGAAAGAGATTATCAGAGAAGAGCAGGCAAAAGAGAGAAAAAGTACATGCTGAGAGGTAGTGTGTGAAAGGCTCCAAAGGAGTGATAAGCTAGAGAGACCAGTGGCTCTACTGAATCCAAGAGAACTGATAAACTCAGAACATAAGTGGTTTGCCAGATCAGTACAAGACCACAAGTATGCACTAGCATCAACAACTATTGTGTAACTTGAACCACATCCAACTGTCTGCTACATACAAACAGACTACAGAATTATCTGCACACTGGATCAAATGAGGCTGTTTGAGAGTCTTTTTGAACACCCATCTAGAACCACTGGAGTATTGCTATGGCTCTGCTTCTGAGTAAATAGTTGGGGTTGGCCTCTCAACTGTTGCTCCAACCATATAACCATGAAATTTGTACATTCAGATGTCTGTGAAGTATGCAAGGAAACAACTGAAAGTACTGTGCGAGCAGCTATTTCCTATTAGTAACACTTTAATAAAATGCATTCTAATGAATATTAGTTATGATTCTGTCTACTCCAACTCAATCCCCTATCAGGAAAAAGATAATTTACAACACAAGGTGTGTAAACCAGCAGTATTTTTTATTCCAAAGTCTTCTAACAGCAGTACATTGAGTAATGGCATATCTGCTCAGATGGATGTTAAGTTTTATATGCAACCACCTACATTTACAAGGGGTGAAAAGTAGGTTGTATCAGCTGAAACGTCTAGAAAAGTTCCAAAATACGTAATTTTATTCCTACCTTTAGTCACACCTCTAGTTGCTCTGCATCCATGCCATTCTTTTACCTCTCTGCTTTGACAACACAGACCATCTGATCCAATCGCTGAAAATTAAAATCAGTTTTAGTTAAAGAAATTCTAACTGCTTTTAGAAGAAATTTTCATGCATACTTTGTTCTAATTTATTTTTCTAATTTCTTTTTATGTTTTATTTTATTCATTTATTAAATGAACATTACCAAGTGAACAAAAGGACAACTCACCGAAAGCTGATCCTCTATCATATGGGTTCATTTGCCATTTATTGAGCACTAAGTTTGGAAGACAGAAAAAAAAAAATATCAAAAAAATGCCTTAAACCAACAAGCTAAGCCTGGAATACTCAAATTATAAGTTCACATTGGCTCTATGAGTGTTTGGCTTAATTTTCTGGGGACACAGCTTTGTTTTACTGCTAACAAGGTCAAAATGAAGGCTTACAGCTTGAAAGAGAGACAGAGATGCTTAATGCAAAGGTGTCCTATGAATGTTTAGCACAGATTAAGTTATTTAAAAATACTACTGAAAATGAAGACATTTAAAAAATAAACCAGAATTCTACATAATAACAATCAAATCCAGCTAGAAAATATCCAAAATTACTTTAAGAGCAATAAATTTGACATGTATTTGCTGCTTCTGTTTCAATTTTACATTAACGTATTTTTCAGGGTATCAGTTAATATGTCACTAATGAAGAGCTAAGATACATACACACAAAGTTTCTGACTTTAGTTTTCATGTGCCAAATAATATGTTGCAATGAAATCTCGAGGCTCCACAATATAAAGATTTTTTTTAATACTAGATACCATTTCAATTAGGATTACTAAGTGTATTTACATTCTTTCAAGGAGGATTTTTTAAGTTCACTGTACTGTCACCACTGTAACAGTAGTTATTATGAAGCTGAAAGATGAGAACCTGTCTAACATCGTCAGTGTTGTTTGTGCAGCTACTGTAACTTACATAAATCTCAATCTATAAATATTACAGACCAGACATGGTTACTAGCTCTTGAATTGCAAGCTTATTTATGCAGACGTATAATTGACCCTCAGGCACTCTGAGGATATTGGCATGGTTACAATCTATTCTTACCAGTGGGTTCTGGCCCTATTAATTTCCTGCTCAGTTCAACCTTTACTAGTTCGTATCTGCAGCAACTGAAGACATTGCTACTCAGCTTCTGAATCTAACTAGGTGCAAAAAAGAATGCAACAGCTTTATTCAGCACAACAGAACTCAAAGACATGCTACAGTACTACCCCAGCCACTCAAAAATAAGTTTGAGTCTAGAAGAGCTTCCTGCTCAAGCCCCAAACCAACTGTGTGATGTCACTGCTGAGGTCTCATCTATCCCTGCAACTGGAAGGGTTTTTTTAACTCTTTTTTTTAAGCTGGACACTACTACCACTTCACATTTTGCAAGGCACTGAACTAGTATGGTTCTCAGAACACTGAAGAGCATGGTATGGATCAGCCAGCCCTAAGCTGAAGACAACGAGCATTACTAAGAGACTGCAGTCAAACACAGAATCATAGAATAGTTAGGCTGGCTCATGTTCAGTTTCTCATCAACCAACACCCCCAAGTCTGTCTCTGCAGGACCCTGTTTCTTTCTGTGACTCCACCAGTAAATTTATATTTACTGTTTTAAAGTCAGGGGTGATGATATTCTATTTACATTATGCAAAATTAAGGAAAAAATACTTATCTAATGGCAAGTTAGGTTAACTTTTCTTTAGGAGGTGACGGAATTGACATGAAGTAACTGTGCTCCAAACTTGAGGAGTGTGACATATAAAAACCTACCTGCCCCACCGGTTTTAATAGTTGCTTTCCCTTTCTTGCCTTCCATCTGGTCCTTCAGTGTTTCATAAACAATCTGAATAACTGGAATGCTAAAAGCCTAAAATAGAAAGTTATTTTCATTCCACAGTTTATACAGATATTTAAAGATATACAGTCAGCCTAGTTTTCAGGTACAATATCCATGGCCAGAAACACTTTAAAATGTGCCTACACATCTGTAAAGACTATTAATACTGCTTAAATACATAAAAACGTATACATGTTCTCTTTGTATTTACACATGCACAAACATACCACCTCTCACCACTTAAAGATTTTCTGTTAATTTAAATTTGATTACTTACACCAGTTTTTCCACTCCCTGTTTCAGCAGCCTACAGGAAGAAATTATAAAGAGTTTAACCAGAGTTGCAACTTGCACTGGAAGAACTGTTCTACAGTTTTTTCAACAAACTAAGTATATTGTTACTTCGGCATAATACAAAAAAAAAAAATCTTAGAGAGCAATGCTATTGCTTCACGCTAATTAGATGTGAACATAAATACAGAAAACCTTTACAAAAGACTTCAAAAAATTTACAAGAAGGCTCCCAGAGTGCACCAGAAGAATTATCTCTGTATGTCTGATTTCTGGAGGCACTACAGAAGATTACAGTAACAGTTATTTGGTTATGGAATAAAGAACACAGATCTACCAAAGATATGATTAACAAGGCATACTAATCCACTATGTTCAATGTTATCAATAATGGAGCATTTGTTTGGGCATTATTACTCATGTTCCATGCGAATCTATGTTAGACATTTACAACAAAGATAAGAGCAAATGAAACCAAACTGCTCTCATTCATCTGACCATGCCTGTCAAATAGTCAAAAAATAAAGCCTAAAAATAATGAATCCCATCTGCAAGAGCAGCTGGAAACACAAGAACTCAGAGGTTTTTAGCTGAATAATAGAAACAGACTTTCTATTGAGGAAGGACAGGAAACCTAGAGTAACTATGGACCTTTCTGGAAAGAAGGGAACTGACCACACAAACAACAATTAGAATACACAAGCTTTCTAGGAATAGGGCTATCCTGCATACGTACCATAAGTACATCACCACCTCCCAAGATCAGTGGGATGGATTCTGCCTGGATATCCGTAGGAAGACTGCAGGAAAGAACACATTTACAAAAATTGATGTTATCAGTAGAGAAAAGGATTTTTGCTTATATAGACACTCACTATGGTCATCTGCAAGATAGAAATTAACAGGTAAATGTTATTATTCCTGGCTTGCATCTAAGGAAGTGAAATAGATTCCATTTACAATGAGAGGTACCCTGACAGGGGGTGACTAGTGGATGCAGTGGATTGAGCCACACCTCAACAAGGCTACATCTCACATCACTATGCTAAACTGGAAAAGAAACAGATTAATTATATATTCCCCGTTTTCCTTTCTTCAAGTAAGCTTCACTTTTAAAGCCACTTACACAGTCTTCATTTACCAAACTCCTATTCAGAACTGGAAAACTACATACACTAGGATTTGAATACTGATAAAATTCTGAATGATGATTCAAAACAAGCTCTGAAGTCAAATATGTTAGACAAATAAGTAACTAAAGCCAGAAAGAATTACTTTTGTAGAAGACTGACACACAAGCATCAACTCTGAAGAACACAAATTCAGGCCACAGTCTGGAAAACATTCACAAAACTAGCATCAATTATATGACACCATTTCATCCAATAATCCCACAATACATAATATACAAAGTAGAAGCACTGAGGCAGAAGCAAAGAGGCTTTTATCAAATAAATGACACTGAAGTATAAGCAGTCATGCTTTGTTTGTCCAAGTTTAAATGTTACTACTGCAGTCACAATTTGTGTTGTTCAGCTACTCACACTGAAAAAAGTGCACTTATCTGCTTTGTTTAATGTGACAGCAGAGCTATTTTAAGAAGCATGTCACATTATACTGAAAGGCAAATTAGATTTTGCCAGGCCCAAATGCACTCCTACTTACAGCCAGTCCATCTCCTCCACTGCTTGAGCTATCTCAGGCATAACACCCATTTCTGTAAGACAAAAATAAAGCAAGAAGCAGTGTTATTTACTTCAACATAGCCCAAAAGATTTCCAAGTGTCAACACTTCCAACTACAGACAAAAATAAAAAAACCCAACCCAACCCATGCAGCCTTCTCTATAGAGCTCCAAGTGATAGATAAGAAACATCGTCCCTTCCCCACATACAGTTTTGAAAGTTTTACCCATTTATAGCAGAGTTAAGCCAGGCATATATTCAGCACAGAGGCAGGTGCTGACAAAGCAGTGAAGCAAACACACCAGAACCAAGCACCATTTCAAGGGCAAAGTACTTATCTTTGCACATTTAAGGAAACCGCCTATGCGGACAAGAGGGAAGACTTTGTTAATCACAAATATCCTGACTGCCTCTATAGCTGAAATGCAAACAGTTTTCAAAAAAAAAAAAACAAAAACAAAAAAGGAGGGGGGGAGGGAGGAAAAACTGTATCATATAAGGACTGAAATTTGAAATGCTCAAGTTTTTGGTTTTATTTTTACTAAACCTTGCCTTACACACTTACAGCACATATATTAACTAGACAATGCTTTGATCTTCATCCTGCTTTGGAAGGTTTCTTTTCCTTAGGTACCCCTTCTGGCAAACCCATATCAAGGTGTGATGGTCATATGTCAGACACAAGTTAAATATGAAGCCACATAATAATGTTTGTATGTTGATAAACAAAACCTATTTATTTAAATAGGAAACCTGCAATAAGGGCAATAGTGAAATGGATTTTGACCAACCCAAATGATTATACCATCAAAATAAGAATTTAACTGCTATCTTTTCAAATGCATAGGGTTACTGGAAGTCAATTTAAATATAAAAATGCACCTTCCTAAAGGAAGCTGTTACATGCTGCTACGTTCTGGATTTTTCATTTACCACACATATACACACAGAAAGGAAAGCCCTGCTGAGATACATGGATGCATGCAGCCAAAAATTATTCCTTCATTTGCTGTAACATACATACTGTAAGAAACACGTTTTATTTCTAATATGATTTCAGAAAGCTTTTAATAATTTCAGGTGTCAGTCTGTACTCCTACAACATTATACAATTGACATAAGCAAAAAGCTTTTTCCATAAGGATAAAAGTAGATATTGATTGCAAATTAGACATAAATTCCTACATTAACTTTTTCTATTTTTAAAACACTTCCAGCTCACAGTGTAATTCAATATACAGTGCAAGGGTTTTATCAAACAATGGCACTATGACATTTTCCTCAACTACGACCAAACTCATCCTGTCACCTACTACCTAAACTCATCTCTAGATCTACAGTAAAAGCTTCAGCATTTTCTCATCATGATTAAAGAACTCAGTTAAAAGAAACAAATTAAAAACCTCACATACACTAAAACTTCACAGTACCCTAATGTTGATTGGTTGTCTATGTGTGAATAAATGTGCGGGAGGTTGTGGGTGGTGGGGAAGAGAACAGTTACGTTCCCACCTTTAACATTAAGGTTTTAAACCGCAATTTACATTGCTACTGCGATAAAATTCAGGTATTAGCCAGTTATAAGGCACCTCCTGTTACAGAAACCAGTCACCCTGAGGCGCAAGCCTGACAATTCGACACTGTCATCTGCAAATGCATGCACACCACATACATACTAAGAACAGCAAAACCGATTTGATAAGTGTTTCTGAAGGCCTGCAGAAGCCCGAGGAGCCACAAAGATCAGCTACATCTCCCCACTCCCGACCTTAAGCCTTAAGTGACGTGGAAAAGCACACACCACTGAGGGCCCGCACCGCGGCAGGCCCGAGGAGCTGCGTGCGGCGCTGACAAGGCTCGTC